AACTTTATGTAATGTAGTCATAGAGGTTGGATTTAACTTGTTAATGTCATTAACGCGGGTCACTAACTTTCGCTTAGTTTGGCCAACGTAGTTACTATCACATTCTTTGCAGTTTATCTTGTATACCACCCCTTGGGTCTGATCTTTTCCTAAAGGGTCTTTCAACTTTTTAACAAATTTATCATTAACTCTATTGTTAACAGAAAAAATAGTTTTGAAATTATATTTCTTATTGATTTTGTTCACTGTTTTTGAGAACCCTTTTGTTACCAATGCAGACAAAGATGGTTCCTTAGTCATTATTAATAAGCCTGATTATTTCAATAAAATGAACTTGGCGCTATCCGATGAGTTGACGTATAGAAGAATTAGTAAAAACCCGATTAACAAGATTAGAGAACAGGTTAAAGGCTTCTTGAAGCGTTGGCTTCTGAAGGGATACATTGATAAAAATATGTATTTGAAACTTTTGGAAACCGACGGCTCCATTCCAAGAAGTTATGGATTACCTAAAGTTCACAAGAATAATTGGCCACTAAGAATTATTGTCTCTAGCATAGGAAGCCCGACTTATAAATTAGCCAGATTTGTTCAAGACATTTTATCTAATAGTTTGCCTAAACCGTCAAGCTATGTTAAAGATAGCATAGATTTACTTAACAAAATTAAAAATATTTCTATTCCAGACGAATACATTCTGATCTCTTTGGATGTTACTGCTTTGTTCAACAACGTACCAAAAGAACTGGTATTAAATGCAATCAATTCTAGACGGAATTATTTAAATAACGCTAAGATCCCTTTTGGAGAGTTGAAACAGTGCATTGAACTCTTAATGGATTCCACGGTTTTCAAATTCAACAACCTCTACTATGAGCAAATTTTTGGTACTCCGATGGGGAGTCCAATATCCCCTATTTTAGCGGATTTAGTTATGCAGGATTTAGAAGTTTCCTGCCTCGATCAGTTGATCCTTGAGGTACCCTTTTACTATAGATACGTTGATGATATTATCACCGCCGTCCCTAAGAATAAACTTGATGAAACTCTTAATACTTTCAATAATTTCCATTCCCGTCTGCAATTCACATTCGAGCTAGAAAAAGATTACAATATCAACTTTTTAGAAGTTTGCATAACGAGGTGTGATAACAAAATTTCTTTCGATTGGTACCACAAACGCACTACCTCGTTCCGCTATATTGATTTTTACTCGTCACATCCATTGAGCCAGAAAGTGGGAGTTGTTTCTATGCTTGTTGATAAAGCGACTAAGTTGGCGGATCATAAACACCACCAAAAAAATTTAAAATTTGTCGAAAAGGTCTTACTAGCGAATCGTTACCCTCATAAGTTTATCAAGTTCTATGTTAGGAAACGCTTATATAAGAACAATAGTGATAATTTAGATAGAAACCTACAGTATCAGAATAACCGGACGGAAAATTTAATGGTGCTTCCGTATATTGAAGGGTTCTCAAAAACAGTGA